GTAATTAACCACGGGGGCTTGCGTCCGTGGGAAACTTGACCCCACATCTACTAAACCCCACTCGAGCTCTTATATCGGGCAGGGGAAACCCGTGACTAGGTCGTATATATTACTACCCATCGAGGTGTGTTGGCGACAGCCTCTATCCTCAATGGTTAGTCGTATGCAAAAATCCAATCTGTCCCTTCCAATTGACCCGTTCGCGCGGTGCTCTTTCGGATGTCTACATGTTTCTGGCGACCACGGTGGGACCAATTTCTCTCCCCATCTTTGGATTATATATTATCTTTTTTTGTGTGTACTCCGGGATTGGTACTCCTTAGATTAGGTTCATCCCACTCTTAGTTAAGGTCTTTCTTTAGTTAGGGTTCCTTCCCCTTAGCTAAGGTTTTCTCCCTACTCTACTTCTTTCAAGCCTTGCAGGCTATTCCGTCCCTTTATCAATTCCTATCTATCCTTATCAAATCCTTTTTTCTTGATTTCAATTCTGATTTCTAATCTTTCAAATTTCTTTTCTTGGCAGCAGTGTCATGGCTCGTTCAGCCCCTTCTGTTACCTTTGCTTTCGGTTCGGACGCGCAGGTGACTCTCCCTGAGTCCCTGCGCGCTAGTCCGCCAGTGGGAGGAATCACTTTTGGTTCCTTCATTGACTCGGCCTTCGTCACTCTTGGCGGGCCGACCCCGACGGAGGCAGCTGCATTCTCTGCTCCTCAGAGGAGAGGACGCGCAGCCATGCGCCCTTTCGGACGACCAGCTGCTCGGCGAACAGCCCGGGCACCTGCTCGTCCCGTTCATGTACTTGCGCAGCCAGTGCGCGCTGTGGCTAGGCGACCAGTGCCTAGGCCACACCCTGTTCCAGTTCGTCCTGCGGTTAGGCGTCCAGTGCCTGCCGCTCCTGCTGCTCAGGTTGCCCCGGCCCCTCAGCGCCGGCAGCCTGCTGCAGTTGTTCCACCTGTTCGTGCAGCGGTCAGGCGACCTGCGCCTACCGCTCCTGTTGCACAGGCTGCCCCGGCCCCTCAGCGCCGGCAGCCTGCTGCCGTTGTTCCGGCAGAAGTACCTCGCGTACGGGTTCCCCCTCTCGCATCCACTAGGAAGAGGGGTGCCCAGACTGAGGTGCCTTCGCCCTCTTCTGGCCGGGATTCTGTTTTTGCTCGGCTTTCTCACCCCGAGACTGCCGGGCAGACCCCGGCACTTCCAATCGTCCCTGTTCCCCCTGCCACCTAGACAATGGGTTCAGATGTCCCTTCCACCTCCACCTCCGGCCTTGGGAGAAGGGCCCGGAGGAATAGGAATAGGAGGTTATGTTTGGCTGCGTCTGAGGCAGAGAGGCAGCAGATGGCTGATGCTATAGCTCACTAGGAGCTAGTTGAGAGGACAGTGGCTCCCAGACAGCAGAGGCCACGACGAGTTACAGTTGTGCCTGCTCCAGAGGTTGTTGTGGCTCCCGAGATAGAGGCAGTTTAGGAAGGACGCTTCTCCCCGTTAACGCACAGTGGAGATGAGGAGGACGTCGCCCGCATTACAGCGGCTCCTGTTACCACTACCCTACCCCGTGCTAGGGTCCCCAGAGATTTTGTTGTTCGAGCCCTCTCTCAGGGTATTCGTAGCCTCGTCCGTTCAGCGCGAGGTGTAGGGCCTGTCAAGCGGGAAAAGTTACTTCAACAAACCTCTCAGACTACTTTTCAGCTGTGGAAGCAGATTTTGGGACAGATATATAGGTGGCAGAGGGGGCAGACACCTCAGCAGCCTGTAGTTTCAGCAGTTAGGCCACCAGCAGTAGCTCCTGTGGTAGGACGACGCCCACGTCGTCGAGGACGGAGACAGCAGCAGGAGCCTGCCCGGCCTCAGGTCAGTTCAGAGGTGGTAGTCCCAGAGCAGCCAGTTGTTAGTGCAGTACCCCATCGTACTAGACGAGTTTGGAGACATCGACAGGCAGACACCCCTGTCGACCCAGTTCCGGCAGTTGAGACAGAGCAGTTGTTAGAGGCAGATCAGCCAGATGAGGCAGCTGATCAGATGGAGGTTGTGGCTCATCCCTGGTCCGAGGCGGTCCCGATGGTTTGCGATGATGGTTCAGTGCATACCCCAGACAGATCGTCAGTACGGATTGAGACAGAGTTAGCCCCTAGCACTCATAAGATCACCTCTCCTATGAGTCCGTATATAGAGGCGATGCGACAAGCCTTTTTAGACGATGATGATACACTAAGAGATGAGTCAGATGAGGACATACCAGTATACTGGGTCTGTGAGACTACCCGTCGAGGTCGCTCGGATGAGCAGAGAGAGCCCGAGGACTAGGATGAGCAAAAAGACCCCGAGGCTGGAGAGTCTCCGAGATCAGTAGCTACGGACACCACAGTCTTGCACTTACAGACTCAGATGGCCAGTGGGAAGATCCAGCTCCACGACAGTGACTTGGTACAGCCTTTAGATAAGGCTAACCAGACAGTTCAGATGATCTCCAGTCCCAGCCACAGTTTAAGCCACAGTTCCAGTCAGGGTAGTAGTGGCAGATCACTCCACAGTTCGTAGGGAGAGTGGCAGCTAGCACTCTCCAAGAAGACCTAGCAGATGATTGAGTAAGCTGTATAGAGTTCAGAGGCAGTTGAGATGAGGTCTCCCAAGGCCAAGTTGACAGTTGCCACTCCAGCTTCTTTGTTAGCACTTGTCTTTCTTTTCTTTCTTCTATTGTAGTGCTAGATTAGTACATTTTCCTTTGACTTTTATTTGTACTAAGAGAGATGTGTAAAAGAAAAAAAAATGGTTGTAACCTTAGAAGGGAAGATAGGCCCCCTTCCAGCACTTAGGCTGAAGGATCTCGTTCTCCCTTCTATTGATGATTAATTAATAAAAGAAAATAAGATAATTTTTTATTATGATGTCTCTCTCACTTCTTTTAGTTCTACTAGCTTTGTAGTGATGACTTATAAAAGGGTATGATCTCTCTATCTTATCCCATGGGTGGAGAGATTTCTTCTTTTGAATTAAAATCTTTTTCAAATTGAAATTAGATTTAGAAGTGAAAATTTTCTTTATTATCTTGTGATTCTCTATCTCATAGATAACTATAGTATATTGATGCATAAAACTTCATAATTTTCTTAATCATGTTATTCATTCTTATCAGAGGATAGGATTTGTTTTGTAGATCATTCTTCCTTGTCCAAGAGAAGTAAGTCTTCTTCTCTTGTACTTGGAAGATGATCTTACAACTGAGAAACAGTTTTCTTTTAGAGATTTGGAAAAGGAAGCCAGTTACAAAAAGTAAAAAGATGCACAAAGTGTGCCAGATGTGAAAGATACACAAAGTGTATCAAGTGATTGAAATTTGTGCAAAGCACATGAAAGTTGAGAAAGTGGCTCAAAGAGCCCAAAAGTTATAAGTAAATGGCTTCCCTTTCTGGTAAATCTCTAAATCTCAGAAAATCTATATCCTTTTGATATTTTTGATACTTGATTCTGAAAATTATGATTTTGAAATCATCATTATACATTGATATTCTATAAGATGTGGAAGTGTATTCTCATACAAGAAATAAAGAAAATTAAATTTCTTTCTCTAATTTAAATTTTTTTTGGATTAGATTTCAATTCAAGAGAGAAAATTACTCATATAAGTGAGATGTCATGATTTAGCTAGTATGGAGCTTGATCTGAGTTAGTAAATTTAAATTGAGGTTCCTTTTAAAATTAGAGGGAGTTAAGTACTAAACTCCTTTGGAATATGTGCTCATTTATCACTTTTGACTGGGTCCACACCATCTTGTATTTGTTAGGATCGGTGGTGTTGAGCCTTTATTAGAAAGTGAATTGTTTCTTCCTGTCAGCCATACTCTGATAGTTGAAGCCCCCAGTCCATTCATTTGAGATGAATGTGATAGGAAATGTCTAAATCATTGATTTAGATCATTTAGAGATGTGATACTGGGTCCACACCCTCCTGCGTTTGTTAGGTTTGGTGATGTTGATCCTCTACTTGAATGAGATTCTCTTCTTCCTATCAGTCCTGCTCTGATAGTTGAAGCCCCCAGTCTATTCACATGAGTTGAATTTGATCGGGAATGTCGTAGTCTTTTTAGATTACACTCTTTTGAGAGAGGATATTGGGTCCATATCCACCTATATTAGTTAGGTGGGGTGATATTGATCATTTATCCCTATGAGATTCTCTTCTTCCTATCAGTCTTGATATGATAGATGTAGCCCCCAGTCCACTCATATGGGTTGAATGTGATCAGGGATGCTAGAGTCATTAGTTTAGACTCTTTTGGAGGTAGGATACTAGATCCACACCATCCTATACTAGTCAGGTGTGGTAGTGTTGATCCTCTATCTTGATGTTGATCTTTGTTATTTCAATATGATTGTGTTCCCCAATTTTATTCATGTGACGAACATGGTATGGGATATCAAAACCAATCACAATTCCCTTTATAAAAAATGAAAACAAATATACATGTGAAAAAAAAAATAATAAAAAAGGAAGTTTTTAGTAGAGCAAAATCAGTTGTCCTTGTCATAGGAGGAACCCGATAAAACTCTCTAAGAGCCTAAATTCTCCAAAAATTCCTCTTTCTCCTCCTTTGAAACTCTTTAATGAGCTCTTCAAGGTTGAGTTAGCACTTAGTTGGTCATAAATCTCTATGATTCCAAGATGCTTTTCTTTGCTAGTGATGTAGTATATTGTACCATGGATGTCAACATCACTACCTTATGGGCTTGGGTCTTTCTGAAGAAAGATCGCCCCCTGGCTGCCCTCTTATGGCAGCCTACTCCCCCATTCATACACTACTCTGAGCTGCCAGAGTGGTCTTATGAATGCGATAGTGTTATTTTCACTTCTCACAGGGTCCTACCCAGTTAGGGTAGGTGTTACCACTGTGTCATTTTGATTATCTTTGAGCTCACTCATGATCACTATCCTCAGGTGGTGAGTATGTCCCCTTGCCTCCTAGAGTTGTTTCTCTTATTATGATGTAGTACATCCTGCCTCAGATGTTAGCATCACATCCTCAGGAGTCTTAATTTTCTAGTAAAAAATTGACTCCTTGGGATCTGTACACACTTCAACATTCGTACCCTACTCTTAGCTGCTAGAGTAGCTCTATGAATGTTGTTTTGTTGTTTTTGCTTCTCACAGGATCCTACCCAGTTGAGGTAGGTGTTACTCTTGTGACCCTTTTTGGTAATCATCGATTTCATTCATGGTTATCTTCCTCGGTAGTAAGGATGTCCTCTTACTACCTAGAGTTGTTTACTCAGTTGTGATATAGTACATCTTACCTCAGGTGTTAGCATCATAGTTTTAGGAGCTCTGATTTTCCAGTGGTAGATCAGTATCTTGGTTTCTTTACCCACCTACTTTAGCATTCATACTCTACTCTTAGCTTGCTAGAGTAACTCTATGAATGTTATTTTGTTGCTTTTTGCTTCCCAAAGGGTCCTACCCAATTAGGGTAGGTGTTACCACTGTGATCCTTCTGATGTTTTATCAATCTTATTTATGATTACTGTCCTCAGGTAGTGAGTGCGTCCCCTTACTATCTAGAGTTGATTTTCTTGTAGTGATGTGGTATACATTGCCTCGGGTATTAACATCGCTACTTTGAGAACTTTGAGCTTCTAGCAGAAGATCAGTTCTCCAACTACTTTTCCTGACCTATCTTACCATTCATACACTAGGCTCAGTCGCCAGATTAGTCCTATGAATGTCTTAAGGTCATTTCCACTTCCCACAGGGTCCCACTAGTTTGTGTGGGTGTTACCGCTGTGAGATTTTACTTACTCAGAGTTGTTGCCCTCAGTAGAGAGAGTACTCCCTCACTACTTTGGCTCTTTTTCCCTACTTGATGATAGGAGGCGTCATGCCTTAGACGCCACCATCACCTTTTCCTTGAGCTTTTGATTCTCTATTAGAGAGTCAGCTCTTTCAAATACTTTTACCACTTGTTTCCCCATCGAGACCCCACTCCTAGCTGCCGGAGAGGTTCTTTGGATGCTTTGATACCACTTCTACTTCTTACGGGGTCCCCATCAGTTAGTATGGGTTTACCACTGTAGCTCTTTTGAGGAGTGTTTTTGCTAGGCTTAGTCCTACTTTTTGTAGCAGAGGTGCCCCCTCGCTATTTCAGTTCTTTTTACTCCTTTGGAATGAGATTACCCCTTCGTACACTCTACTGAGGGTGTCTCTTCCAGCTTTGGTTAGGAGATGTCACACTGAT